GATTGAAGGTATCAATATAATTCACGACGACGGATTTCAAAGAAAAGATTCATCATAATGGCTTAAAAGCGATGCCCTGCGGGCTGACCAGAAAATGGAAAGAGATGGACGCTTTGGTGGTTTTAAATGACGTATGAACTGTTATTGTTCTTCTCGATCGGTCCAGCTTTCCTCTTTCAAACAGTTTCAACGTGGTACTGTGACCTCGAGGCTTTCCTGAAGGAAAATGTCTTTTCTGCAAGTCTCTCAAGATAGTCATTTTCCTTTACAAAATCTGCCATATGGAGTGTTTTCAACATCTGTTAATGTGAGTACATTGAATGGTGTTCTTTTAATAGAATCGATTTTCTCTTGAAGTGTTGCTATGCGTCCCTTTATCTTTTAGCCAAGGCATCGCATTGGAGTTGCAATAGGCGAACATGTCTTAGATTTGTGTGGAATTTCTGAATTTTTCACTGGTCCCGTTATGTCCCAAAGGAAAGAAGCTCTTCAAGAGGTAAGATATCTTTTTTAACAAGAGAAAAAATAAAGCATAAACACTCTCTGAATGATTAGTTCAGTGAGCAATTAAAATATGTGGGTGTGTTAGAGGGTGAGTTTGTGGGTGTGTGTAACCATTTGCGGTTCCTTTGTTAAATATTGATGATGGCAAAGTTCTCAGTAATATCATGCAGCAGAGTGAATGTACCATAAAAATTAGTCTTGTTATGCATCAGTCAATTCCAGCTGCGCCCAGCCATTCCCCCTTCCCCAGCCCGACCCCCGGGCATTAGCAGTTTTTTTGACTTGGATGGCAAATTCCCGAGGGTGGGGATGAAAAAAGGGGACAAATGCCCAGTCCTCCGTCAACACTGCAACATTTTTCATTGATTGCACAGTCGAATAGTGCAGCTGGAATTGACTGATGCATTAGTTGAAGTTTAATAACAGTTGTTATTTACTATAATTTTATTATTCATTTATTTGTGGAGGCCTATGGCTGAGTGGTAAACACCTCAAACTGCGGATCTGGAGGTCCGGGGTTCAAACCTCACTCGTCACGTTGTTTCCTTAGACAAGGAACTTTACTCCACTTTGTCTCTCTTCACCTAGGTGTATTGCTAGTTTTCAACCACGTGACAAGGCGGCCATGTTGGTAGGCAAAACAATAAGAAATTTTTTAGTAAAATTTGCATGAAAAAAATTTTTTTTTTCCCAGAGGAGGAAACGCTTTTGTTCTTGTCCACCAACATGGCCACTGTGATGTCAGCTGAAAACCAGCAATAAATGGGTACCAGCGACAGACTGCTGGAGGGTAACCCTGCGATGGACTAGCATCCCATCCAGTGAAGAGTAGCTATACTCCTAGGTGCTTCATGCTCATGAAACTGGGATAAGCTCCAGCCATTTGGGCCTTTGGCTCGTGTGCGCCTTTTTCACCTTTATTCATTCGTTTAAAGTATTTCTCCAAATACCACTGCTAATTCTTCGTAACCAGCTTTGGTGTAATAGTCAGTAAAAGGGACAGTAACCGAGAGGCCCTGGAGAAAAGGTTGTGTTAATTTAGTAGAGAAGTAGAAACATTTTGCGAAGAAGAAATAGCTGAACAACTCAGCCTAAAAACATAGCAAGAACAGCAAAAGAAAACCTCATGACATCTGC